CTCTCTCCTCCGCAGAGGCTCTGACAGGTTTTAGGTGGGGAGAGTCCGCTGTACGTAGTGAGTGCAGGCGTAATAAAATGGCGAGAGCGGCCGCGAGAGCCTCTGCCAGATGTCACGCCCAATATGGCCGCCATCTGGGGGAGGTAACTTTTCATCAGTATTCCTCACCGGGGTATGCCGCACATGTTTGTCGGTCAGCAAAATGGCGGCCAGATTGGAATGTCCTGTTCTGCGGTTACGCGATGTTCAAGTACAAAAAACGTATTTGGATGCGTGGAAAGCTGGAAAACTTTGTTGTCCTCATAAAGACTGTTTGTCTGAAAGTATTTTGCTATGTAGCGATGGCTTAAAGCATCACTTCAGAATTCGACATTCGCGAGACCCGCCATGTGGCGATCAAGAAATTAAAGAAGGAAAGAATATCTTAAGGAAACGTTTGGCAGATGAAACTCTGAACAACTTATTGATTCTGTCTCAAAAGAGAAGAGAACAAGTAAGGTTTCTTTGAAGTGTTGTTAAATTCATTGATTATCGAGTACGAAATTTCCTTGCAGTGCTGCTAAACTTAAGCTTATTAGTTATATTTTTCCTCGACCAAATAAATGCTTTTCATGTGTATTTTGAAATGTACTCGATCAAATCGCTGATATATTTCCTGTAAGAAAAATATTGCTGTAAAAAGGAGCTTTCTGTTCAGCAGTATAATCAAATTCGATAAATTTAAGCTTCAGTTGAAAGACTTTTCGTTAATAAACAACAATCCGTACCAAAATATTCTTTTAAAAGCAGCACAAAAATACCACATGTAAGATATGTATTAAATTTCCTGTTTTCTTGTTTTAAATAAAGCTCAGGAATGGTTGATTCGTTGATGTGTCAGTCTTGTAAATAGTCTTTATTTGCTGGAAATCCCCTTGAAAACTTATAAATTATTCCATTTATTATTTTATTGCACAAACACCAAAAATACTTAACAGTCAAAATAACTTCAACTAAATACATACAGTTGCAGTTAATTTTCATCTTTAACGTTGCATAATTATTTATTAAACTCGCTGATCACCTGTCTTCTATAACAATCCAGAATTCAGCTCATTATGAATCATTCACCATTGAATTCAATGATGAATGTTTTGCCTTAGTGGCAACACACGAGAAAGAGGCAGCAAAGCTGTTTGGCCTTTACCTTTGGCATAAAGGAGTATTGAACTGGCTGGAGGCTGGAAATAAACCTGTAACAGTTGCCGTGAAGAACAAGTGGTTGGAGTCAACATTTGCCTTGTGGCGAAATAAGGAAAAAATCTATGCAGAAGCCACGTTTCATAAAAAGGTAGCTAGAAAGATAAATGGGGTAATTGTCTTTGTCCCACTCCAAATTTAATTGTGGATGAAAATATGAAAGACATACCATAGAATAAAACAATGCATTCTGTTTGTTGTTGGATGTTTTAAATTTTTATTCTTTCATTTTAACTTTTAACTAAATTAACATACACAGAGTAGAATTTTGAGACTTTCAGAACTGCACCTAAAACATACAATTTTTACCCATAAAGACAAGATTATTTTCTGACTCCTCTGGGTGAGTGCTGTAAAATTCTATCCTAACACTAGTATTTAAAATTAAGTACTTTTAAAGAAATTAAAAAACACCATTTCACAAATTATCCTTACTGGTCTCAAACATTTTCATGAGTACTAGTTGGGAGAACTTGTATACACATCAAGACATAAGTAAATATTCATCATTGGAGATCATTTCTTTAATTCTCATTACCTATGTGTTACAATTCACTGATAACAGGAGAACATTGACCAGCAAATTAATTAAAATTAACCTCTGTTTGCCCAGATATATTCTATTCTTTTTGGCCAATTTTCTTGTTGAAATCAGCCACTGCCATGCCCCCCCCCCCCTAAAAATACCTTCACCATCTTCAAAAGAACTGCTTCATGTGGCAAACATAATCTTTTGTCTGCTATTTAAATTGTAGTTTCAGGCAAGTCCACTACCTACTCCTGCACCTGAAACCCAGCCAGTTCATGCTGGAATTATGCAAGGGGTTCCAGATGCCGTGTCTAAAGAAGATGAACCTCTCCATGTCATGAAGACAGTTTTCGGATATGATTCCTTCCGTGAGGGACAACAACAGGCCATCCAAGCCATAGTTGAGGGCAAAGACTGTGTAATATTGATGCCCACTGGGGGAGGCAAAAGCTTAATTTTTACTATTGCTTCCATAATTAAGCAAGGTCTAACTGTCATTATTGAACCTCTAAAATTTTTAATGGAAGAGCAGGTTGCTGCTCTGAGGGAAAAAGGTGTGTCTGCCTTTTACTTTAACTCTTCACTCACAGACACAGAGATGGATTTTGTAGTTCACAGTCTTACTCGGTTTAGGTCCCAATATGTTATGCTTTTTACTAGTCCAGAATGTATTTTTAATGTAAGACTTCAAAATGTCTTATCTAACTGGAAAGGCAATAGCCGGCTGGCCTTCATTGCCATTGATGAAGCTCATTGCATCGATTCCTGGGGAGTTGGCTTCAGACCAGATTTCACAAGACTAGGAGAACTAAAAAAGTTTGGAACTGCAATGGCAGCTTTTACTGGAACAGCAACACCCCATACTTTGCAGGTAGTTATTGACAGCTTAAAACTCCAGCAGTGTACTGTAATCAAGACATCTTTTATGAGAGAGAACCTGTTTATTGAAGTGCAAGAGAAGAAAGACAATGCAAAGAAACAAGTGGCCACAATACTACAGGAGAAATTTCAGAATAGTTGTGGAATTGTTTACTGTGCAAGGCGTCAGGATGCAATGGACATGGCTCAAGAGCTAAAGAAACACAACATAAGTGTCACATATGTCCATGGCACCCTAAGTGATACTGACAGAAAGAAACATGAAGAACTGTGGAGCAATGGCAATGCCAAAGTTATGTGTGCAACAAAGTGCTTTGGAATGGGAATCAATAAAGAAGATGTATGATTTGTCGTTCACCTAACATTCCCAGAATGCCTTGAAGACTATTACCAGGAAATTGGAAGGGCTGGGAG